TTGATAGCTTTGTGCTATTGGAACTCGTATAACTGTACCAATTTGACAGCTCTCCTAACAGCCCATGAAGAACTTCATGCCACAGCTTGAAAATTTGATATAACCTGTTTTGCTGATGGCCAGATGGCACTGCCTTTTGGAAACAAATCAAAGTTTTGGTGGAGGCAGCCTTGCTGAGATCCCCATCAGAGTGGAAGGCAGCGGATTTGTTCAGGAGGAAGTTGTCCCGCTCAAGAAGATGACAGCCAGCCTGGTGTCGTGGTTAGACGGCCTGGCTAGGATCTGGGAGACCCAGGTTCGAATCCCCACTCTGCCATGGAAGCTCACTGGGTGACCTTGGGCCAGTCACACTCATTGTGGCCGTGTTCACATTACCGTTCTAAACCAGATGTTATTCGTTGTTGGCCCAGTTTTGAGTAAAGTCATGGAGTCATTTCCTGCAGGAGTGCACAGGAGCGGAGCTCCAGCAATAAAGAGCCCAGGGGGCGGGCACATGCAGCAAGCCCCACCCCCTGCTCCCAGCAGCCCTCAGTCACAGCAAGAAGCAGCCAGGTAAGCTGCAGAGCCCCCCCCCCAATCCAAAACAGTCCAGTGGCACCTTTAAGACCAAGTTTTATTCAGGTACAAGCTCTCCCTCCTCTGCGAGGACAGATCTGCACACACACACCCCAATAGCTAGCAATCCAAAACAGTCCAGTGGAGCCTGAGTGGTGGGTGTTGCCTTCTGACACACTTCTGGTGATGTCAGGGTGTGTGGCATATGCAAATGAGTTATGCTAATGAGTTTGCTAATAAGCTCCTGCACCTATTTTTCTACGAAATGACCCCTGCTTAGCACTATGACACCACCACACAAAGATCAAGGTCTGAGGTGAAGAAACAAGTAGAGAGAACTGTATCTCCCTGTCTCAAAAAGAGAACATACCCATTGAATCTGATAGACAGTAGATTGCCTGTACAGACAAAAATAAGTAGTAGTCTCAGGGCATGGGAAAGATTGATGCTGGGAAAGATTGAAGGTCAAAGAAGATGGGGACGGCAAAGGATGAGATGGTTGGACAGTGTCATCGACGCAACGAACATGAAATTGAGCCAACTTCAGAGGACAGCGGAAGAGGGCCTGGCGGGAGCTGGTCCATGGGGTCGCGAAGAGTCGGACTCGACTGTGCGACTGAACAACTCAGGGCATCCTGAACTTTAGTGAGGTGCTAAAATACTTTCTTACTTTTTGTTCTGCAAAAGGCAACACAGCTAACTTCTCTGGAGTTATTGCGCAAAGTCAAGAGCTTCACACAGTGCATCCTTATATCGTGGAACATACTGCCACAGGATGAAGCAATAGCTATTTAAAAGAGGGTTAGTTTCAGGTGGGATTAGATATTAGATTTTAAAAGGATCAGATACCCTGGCGGGATCTAGTCCATGGGGTCGCGAAGAGTCGGACTCGACTGTGCGACTGAACAACAAACAACAACAAATGCTTTTGAATGGCAGTTGCTGGGAGGAACAGCAATTGGGGGAGACTTTGCCTTTTGTGCCTTTGCTTGTGGGCTATCTAGGGCACGTGGTTGGCCATTGTGGGAAGTGGACCTTTTGGTCTAATCCAGCATGGTGGTTTTGTTTCTCATCTTTATATGGACTCTGCCCCATCCCCTCTGCATGTTGCCTCAGTCTAATGCAGTTCAGGAGCGTGTGTCTGGCTGACATAAAAAGTCATATATTCTCTCTCTCACACACAGAACACAGTATTCTCCAGCTTTACCAGTCTGGTTGACAGCATGCTTGCCTTCTTGTTATGATTACAATTAAAGTTACGATTTGAAAGTCAGATTTGCACATAACTTTGAAACATATATAGATCAGTAGTGCCTAAATGTTTGAGAGTGAATTGTTTTCTCAGGGACACTGTATACAAAACTCCCATAACTTGTGTTTCAGACCTATACAGATTATTTTCTTTACAGAAATTCAGGAATGAAAGTTTCAACTCCCAGCTCCTAAAGGCGCAGGAATCCTGACAGAAAAAATGTCAACTCTGTAATCTGAAAGCAAAGGGAATGCTCATCAAAACATGTAGTTACAAAATGGACAGAAAGAGTTCCATACCAACACTGTAAACTGGGGGCTGCAAAATGGCCTGTCTTGCTATTTCAGATGGAAAGACTATACCCACGGAATATATGCAGGCATAGTGTGTGTAATACATAATCTTATAATTGACAAAAGAATCACAATAGTATTGAGCAAATATGAAATACACAAGTGGACTTCGATTCTGTTCTGCATGGCTTCTGTTGTCCTTGCTTTTTTGCTGTTTTTCCCTCCATAGGAGCACCTTCTTTGGGGGGCTGTAACTTGGACCCCATAAATCCAATCCTCATCAAACTTGGAGGGCAAGTAGAGGAGAGTC